ACAATTCAATTTAGTGTTGTAGTTAAGATTAGATAAAATAGAAAGCTGTATACATATGTACTATGGTTGGTTAGTACACCAAATCAAAAACTAAACTAAAGGAACTAAACTTGTAACTCGGGAACGTGTAAACAACTTCCTGTTGTGGACACAGTTCAATGTTTAGTGAAAGATTCTATTTACAGCTCGGAAAAAAAGTATATTTTAAGTCCCCGGCAGGACTCGAACCTGTGAGAGTCAGATGTGTTGCACACAAACAGCATGGTCTGAGTTAGAGCTGAATGTTGGGAACTGAAGTAAACTCTCTCCTCTGTCCCTCCTAATAAAGGGGTTGTTAATCTTTGATGCAAGAATAAAACAATAGCTGTGATAAATAGGCTGTAAAAAAGATCCTGACCCGAATAACTAGATAAAGTAGATGACATCAGATATTTTATATAAAATCAAATCTCCCTGGTTCGACCTCATATCGCTCCACGCTCTCTGTTTCCTTCTCTACCTCAAATACCCTCAAAGTTTCAACCCCTGCAAAGACGTGCAGGAGTTTTTAGATCTTTTCTTGTGTTTTCAAATCAAGAGCTTGTCACAACAGGGAGGAACCAGTTTGCTTCCACTTTCCACCAGAGGTTGCTGTTTTGTTTCTTTCACAATAAAAGACTTTCCTTTTCGTTTTGCTTCCAAATCCAATCTTTTTTCCTCCTACACCTCCTCCCGGCGGAAGCTCCCCAAATAGCAAAGCAGCACTTCAAACAGGCACCGACTTCCTCTGAAAAAAGCATTGATGGGGTCCAGCTTGGGGCTGCCCAGCAAGGAGAGGAGGAAGGGAAGAGAGGGGGGGCGTATCGTGGAGATAAGCACAAGCCAAAACACCTGGGGAATACATGTTTGCGGCTGCAGTGCGGCTTATGTTGATCCTGCAGCCTCATTCAGAGGCAGATTCAGCGCAGGCGCCCACTGGCATGTTTATAATTCCCTTCATAGACTGGAACTCCTCTTCCTGCAGCCAGAAACTTTTAAGAATGGCAGCACCAGACCAGTCGTGTTTGTTCGGGGGAGAGAGGATTAATGTGAAAAGACGGATGATGCCAATTCCCAGAGCTTGAGAACTGTCGTGTAGTGGGACTTGAGGGATGCCGGGGTGATCCGATGTAGAGCTTAGTCAGACTTTTTGCATTTCCGACTCCCAAAACGTCTCCGTTGTGGTGCAGGCATTTTGTAAATGCATCACCTAACAACATTAACTGGTTGTAATGCAGAGCTCTGATGCCGTGAGTCAGTTCAGGGCTTTGTGAAATGACCACATCTGTCTTTGTTTCCCTCCAACCAGAAGCTCTCAGTCTCCAGCTCTCTCTGGCTCCATGCTTATACTCCTGGAGCAGCTCAATGGGCTCAGAGTACGAGTCATTATTCACTTCAGCTCTCTGTTTTTTTTCTTTCTCTGCACTGGCCAATAGCCACAGTCAGAATTGCAAAGGGTTGTTTGTTTCACTGGGGCAGACAGACCTGACCACGGGGGCAGAATCACAGCGAGCCCTCGTCTTACACGCTCCCTCTAGAAGAGGAAATGTCCACATATTGTACAAATGTGACTCTTTTTTGTCCTCCGCTGCCTGGGCGCTGTTATTTATTTTTTCGAAATATGGTAAATCTTCAGAAGTAATAACTTCTGGCAGGTAGCCTGACATGAAATTACAGTTTTTCACTCCCTCTCCCTTTAATCTGCAACAATTCAATCAGGCAGCTTTCGGGCAAACTTATTGGGCTCCTCTCTCGTCAAGACGTTTTTATCTGAGGAGGAGGGAATGTGGACGAACAAACGAATGAACGGGGTGAAATGTTTTTCTGACTATTGTTTGCACTGATGAGGGGAGAAGTTTAAAATCTGTCAAGACAAGTTGTCATTAGAAATCAAGAGTACGTCATATTTACCCCTAATTTGATTCAAACTAACTTAAAGATACAAATAGCCAGGTCTGCATCCTTCCACTAAGTTTCCCATCCAGGAGTTTTTCATGTGATCTTGCTGACAAATAAATACAAACGACATCCATCGTGTTGAAAGGCGAAAGATCGGATGACAGCTTCCTGTTTATCAACAAAACCCCACTTTTATTTGAAATCTCTTACATAATGATCCAGATGATTAATTCTGCAGCAGCTCTGAGCTTCTCTGCCAATAATAAATGATGCACAAGTTGCTTTTTTAGTGGTTATTCAGAGACTGAAAGAACTCAAACACATAATGAGTTTTCTGCTCATGGTGGCAACTTGGTAAAAAGGAGCTTGTGAGCAGATGAAGCCGACAAAACTGTTCAGCCAAACTGCCGCCGGGCGATGCACGGCCTTAATCCAGGCCTTAATGAGGGAAATATTGGACTCTTGAATCCACAGTTCAATCATTTGGCGTCTGAACACTTGGAATATTCTGCTGTTGCAGTGAATTTTTGGTCATATTTGTTTTTCACTTCTGGAACTCACAGATGCATAAATGTTGGATCCACACTCGCACCTGCTGTGCTAACGAGGTCATTAAAGCTTCAAATGTTATCTCTTTTTACTCAAGGGAGAGAATTAAATGATGAAATGTGATTTTTTTCACTCTGTTTACTGCTATTATTACTAATTTAAATACGATTCTAGGAAGCATCCATAAATAAACATTGGGATCGATGTGTACATGTTTAATTTAATGGTAGATTTCATTTAAATATCAGATCATCTGCAGTCACAGCAGCTTTTAGAGACTCGACTCTGGGGTGGAGGGATCGTCTAGTTCCAGCAGCTTCGCCTCTCACACACACACTGAGGTATCTATATCCACAATCTGACAGACCTCAGGCAAGTAACCTAGCGGGGGACAATCATTGAACATTTACAGGGACAAAGGGGTCCCTGTGATGCACTGAAGTCCAAACACTGAACCTATTGGATTTCCAAAGAGGTCTGACCTTCAAAGTTTCCTTCCGTCGAGAGGGCTTTCGGTTTGGCTGGTTTTGTAAAAATAAAAAACAAGGTGCCACACTTTACCCCAGGATACAAAGTCAGCCGTGCCCTTTTGTGTCCAGCCAACGGTCGCTGGACACTGCTGACACTGTCAGACCGTAGATTTGGTCCGTTGAGCTTTGGAAAATGCCAGCCAGCACAGTGGACATTTCTAAGTGTGGACTCAGTCGATGCTGCGTCTCAGTGAGCAAGTCGAGGTGGAATACTGGAGGAGTTTAAAGTTTTCATAGCAGGAATATAAAACACATTATTTATAATCAGGGCCAGGCTGTGGCGTAGGTATACAAGAAAATGCCAGTAGAGGACTTTTTCATGATTTAGATCACTTTTTAGTATCAATGTTTTATTTTTGGCGCCTCTCTAACCCAGAATGAAAGAACACAGAGAACGATTATCACATATTTATGCTGCAACACTGAGTCCCCTTCTGTTCATCGGACCCAAGGTTACGTTAGGAAGCCTGATAGATAACAACTGCATGAACGTACATAACATCTCAGCAACGAGGGCAATCGGATTTTCTTGAAAACATGTAGAGAAGACAAATGAATTAATGGTTTGACAAGACAAGCTAAACATATGAATCCAGTAGAGCTGCATGTGTAGACTAATGGTAGTGGCCACCTTGACTTTGTATGTTTATAATTTTTGTAATGACAGCATCCAGTATTGAGAATAAACACCTCTGCTGAAGACGTCACCTGTCTCCAGAAAAACTCAATTCCTTCACGCTGCTAGATTTTTACAGTACCAACCCTATACGTGTGTTTGTTTTCCCTGAAATGAATTTATAGACTCATTCGTTGTGTTTTTTTTAAACTGGACACATTCAGGAGAAGAAAACACACTTCCTATTGTTTTACTTTGACTTTTAAGAAACTTGCTCATGAACACTATTTTTAAGTGATGAAACATCCCTTTAGTTTGGCATGAAGAATAACACATTACTTTAGTTTGGGATTTCAGAGATGACTGCTGTTATTATAGTAGATGTTTGCTCCATATCTGTGACTGATATTGACAATAACCCTCAGGCTGCACAAACCTCCATCATTTCCAAATAAGTCCATTCACATTCCTGTTGTTTTATAATAGTTTGAGGTCATAATTATATGAAGTCATACTTAGTGTCAATATGTAGGATAACATACTTTGTCCTTCTCCATACGTTTCACCACATCGTCACCTCACACTTTTCTAGATATCTGATATTCAATAGATCCCGTCAGACTCAAACAATCATAAAAAATCCAAGGGAGACTGTGGAGCCACGACATTGACTTTCAAACATTTCCATAACCGCTTTTCATTAACAAATAACATCTCTCAAAACCTGTCATACATCAAGATTGAGCAAGGTCATGTCTGTAGTTTGTGGTTGAATAGCTGCAAGAGCATTTTAGAAACCATGGAAGAAACCAAAGAAAACCTAAGAAGATGATGGCTGAAGTTGTGAATTGATTTAAAAGGTGGAGGAGATGGAGAAAAATACCTGATGTTCAGGCTCCTGCCAAAAGAGGGAACCAATCAGGGAACTGATTAGAAAAGTGGGAACAGTACAACAGTTAATTCCAATGTGTTGCTCTGTACCAATCTTGCAGCTGAACTGGAAATAATAAGAAAGAAAGCTCAACACATTTTCTTCTCTTCTTTATCTTTCCTCCTTTGCGATCTATAAAATACTCCCTGAAGCCTCCCACTATACAGTCCCCTCAGTGCAGCAGCGGCAGATGCAGTTTTACAGCAAGAGCACGTGTCTGACCATCAGACTTCTGGATCATAATTTGGGCTTTAATATTTTCTTATAACTTCGGTGGGGAGGGAGGAAACCGACCATTCAGATACAGAAAACATGATCATCAATCACACTTACAATAATGCTCACGGTGGTGGTGGTGGGGGGTGTGTGTGTGTAGATATATGTATGAGAGAGACAGTGGGGGGGAGAGAGGAGACTGGCTACATATCTGATGCGCGCACGGCGCAGCCTCCTTTCACAAAACATTGGGAACGGATGGAACCACTGGATCTCGAGACCACAGTCTCCGAGGATCCGGACACGCACTCACCTGTCACCTGTGCACGCACCGGAGAGACACGTTTACATTTGTGGTTGGTTCACGCGTCGCTCCCCGTGGATTACATGAAGGTGTCTGGACCTTGAGGACGGAGTGCGTCAGGAGGAGAGAGCGCGCGTGTCCAACAAGTGGACGCAAGACTCGACTGAAAACACAAACTCTCAGTGGATTGATTGATCACCTGCTAATTCATCCATCCAAGGATCGATCGATCGGTTCACAGTTGAGACTCAACTAACCTGCGCTCATTCGCTCTGCCTCAGATGTGGAGCTGGTGCGCATTGTCTCGCTCTGAAGTAGTTTCTCTCTCCAGTGACTGAGTATTATTTGTTCTTTTCCAAGCAAATAATGAAACTGCAATGAGGTAAGACAACGCCTGCATTTTTTTGTTTTTTCATTCATTGACCTAAAGCGAGATTTTCGGAGGACACGCTGCGGAATCCACCGCTCGCCCCCATCATCCACTGACGCGCTGCGGGTCCCTCGGTGATCGTGGGGGGAAGTTGGGATCCTCTCTGTGGGCATCTCTGCATGTCGAGGGCGCAGGTGGCAGCCAAAGGTCGCAGTCATGCCGATGCATCCAGTCACCTCCACGTTGATGTACCGGGGGATCTGCACCATCCCTGACATCCTCTACAGCGCGCCAGTGAACCTGCCCGAAGACGAAGTTGAAGGTAAGATGATGATGATGAGGATGAGGATGGTGATAATGATGATGAGGATGATGATGAGGATGATACCTGCTCGTGTTCACCTGAGTGATCACAGTCACAGATCAACACTGGATCTGGTTGTTTTGTCTCATTTAGTGTCTGTGGCTGTGGTGGAGCTCATTCAGCACCTTGGACAGCGCAGAGATTAAAATTGATTTGTTGATTTCCATCCCATAATTCTTCCTCATCTGACTTTAAGAAACAGAAAATAAAAAAAAAGAATCAACCACCTCGTTACCCGTGCTACTCAGAGATCAGATAACTTGTTTAATTGAGTTTCATCGATTGGAAATATAGATTTGCAGCTGAGTCAGAGGGTCACACATGTCTTCGCTCAGATCTGGAGCTGGTTGGGTAAAAAGAAAAAAGAAAAAAACATCTCTGCAGCTTCTCAGTGTTGCTCCTTGAGATGATGAGACATTAAACCTGTGTAGAAGTAGAAGCTCCTGGGTGAATCATAGAAGTCTGATTTCACAGAGTTTGATGTTCCATATTTTTTTTCCTGGGGAAACTGTGGAAAACAGCAGGTGCATATACTAATTCAAACAATGTGCATGTTGAATATTATCTTGATGTAATACATTTGAAAATCTCCTCTGTGCATCATACACATCGAACCTCCACAGCTCTGCAGTCACAGATGATGCTAAATGAAGTAGCCCATCACCCACCTCCTCAACAACCATGACACATGACTATAACTATTCTGAAGAGCTTGTTTTCTTCTTCCTCTTCTTCAGTATACTGAGAATATTCCTGCCTGCAGCCCTTTTTGTGATGTGAACCTGTGACATATGCACATTATCATCCAGCAGCCCCTGGGACATTGCTCCAAGTATCACGCCGTGTGTGGTGACATTAGGTTCTTGCATTGTTGTCCTGTTGTCAGTGTGGTGACGCATCCCTGCTCAATTATTAGTTTTTATTTTTCTCCCGTCCTTGTTAATCTGCACAGTTCTGATAGATCTGAATGCCTCGGAGGCGGAGTGATTAGCGCGGACGCACGTGTCTTTAAAAGTGTCGCATTTCCGATGAGGCTCTGACCAACATGTGTAAATTACAGACAAGCTGCGTCTTGTGAGGGATCTGTCAGTGGGTGCTGGTGCAGAGAATCCCATGGAGAAATCTGAAATGAATGAACTGAACCTGGAGTTGAGATGAGATTGCACAGCCACACACGCTTCTTTGTGTCATATGCAAAAAGGTTTGGGCTGAACATGAATTGGTTTTGCCTTTGAAAAGATGTTCAAAGAAAAGAAAACACACACAGTTCAAAAAAGCTTCCAGAAATTACAAGAATAGATGCCACAGAAGTGTCAATATGCCTCCTGCATGTTATACTCCTCTGCTCTTCTTTCGCTTTGACACCCAACGAACTGAGCCGACGATAAAAGAGAAATGTCAACAATGCCAAAAGTGATCTTTGCATGATGCCATACCTCTGTCATGGCATTGCATCAGTCATTTTTCTTCCCCTGTCAAACATGATTTGCAGTTTAAAAAGAGACTGCATGACAGAAATATATGTTTTTGCAGCAAATATTTCAGCCCATCTTTATTTTGCACGGAAAGAAGCAGAGGTGTCGCTCATCAGTTCCAGAGGAAGCCGTAGGGTTGTTGAGACATGAGGAATCTCTGTTTCATCTTCAGCCTCCCACTTAACTTCACAGTCCACTTTGGGTGCAATAAACAGACAACACTTCATTTTGACTTTAACTGCTCAAGTCAACTTGCTCTCTCTTGCTGCAGTCGCTCTCAACATGAGCCGTTTGGGCTTTACAGCTCAACGTATAAATGTCAGTCTGCCTGGAGAAGCGATAAGTTGTGTTGTGCAGAGAGCAGGAGAGCACAGTCACGCACAGCTAACAGCGGCGACAGAGGCTTTTTCAGCCGCTGCAGAGCAGTGATCCCGTGTGAGGGACGTCTCGCAGGTTGTGAAAGAGGCAGCTTTGAAAGGCAGAGTCGCAGAGGAGGTCAAATGTTGCTGTCGTCGTCCTTGTCAAGCAAGAAATTCACAACCTCTTCCTGTCTGAAAGCATGAGATGGGAATTACAAAGACACAGCGGGGCTGATTGGTCTGTTGAAAAGCAGTAAAAGTGACTGAATAAATACTTTGAAGGCAAGATTCTGACATTCACAACTCACATTTAGGCATCTGGAAACAAACATGCTGTCGTCTGTGTATTTTTAGCAGCTCAGAGAGGATGAACAGGGCAACAAGTGAACAGCTGCGACATTCTCCTTCCAGGCAACAGGTTGCATTTGACATTTTTACCTTTTTATTGGACTTTTATTTTGGATTTCTGCTCTGGTTTTCTTTCTAGATCCTTTCCGGGTCAGATGTGTAAGATTTAGTTTAAAGGGAATCGTTGACAAAAAAATGTAACGACCCGATGGCCTGAATGAGTGCATTATTGAGTTGTCATTACCTTACGTATGTACAACCAGAGCGAGTCTTCCTGTATGAAGGCAGCCATGTTGCATCACCATGTTTCTACAGTAGCCAAGAATGGACAAAACCATCACTTGCTCCAGAGATGGCCTTTGAGTTTTAAGGTGAGGGGACTACAATATGCAACATTACCAGTAGATGTCTCTAAATCCTACACACTTAACCTTTAAAGCACCAGGTCAAACAATATACTTAACATTGTTGTATAAGCTTGATACAGAATTAATTGAAGTTTAAACTTGTTCGCTGTTATTTTTTGTGTGTCTCAGAGACCTCAGCTGGTGTCAACCATAGGTTGTACACTCCAACATCCTCTGAACTCATTCAATAGATCTGAAAAGATTTATCATTACAGTTTTATAACCCTATAACTCTAATCCACCTGTCAGGGGGTCAAACCTCTCTGAGATCTTATTGACCACCTTCATTTGATGATAAAGCTCTGTGTGCAGCAACAGAAAGAAATACCACTTCATATTTAGGCTTCTAAATAAAGGCAGAAGATTAAAAGATATACAACAAAGATTTTGTGATGATTATTCTTATTTCGAAATATGTATTTTGTTGGTTCTGTATGACCACAAAGGATGTGGAGGTTTATTTATATAAAAAAAGAGGGATTCATGTTACTGTTAGTCCTACAGACGCGGCAAAGGTTGATAAGCTTTATATTATAATACGCATTTAACAATCTGGAGGTGCTGCAGTCAGATTTGGATGGCTGACTTTTCATAAACGTTGATGAGAGACGCGCTGCAGCTCGAGCGACTTATCTTGTCATCATCTCTTGAGAGACGGATGAGAACTGGCTGGAAGTCTGGAGTGTCACATGCATCAGCTCTGCTGTCAGGGAGACGGGCCTTTGTCACAAACCCCAAATTGCACATTAGTGCACGTGTGTGTGTGTGTGGGAGCATGTATGAGGACAGGAAGCTCGAGCCCTATTGGTCCACATGGTCACAAGGACGTGATTTTCAATTACTGGCGTGGACACCTCAGGGAACTGACCAATGGCAGAATACTTTGTGAACGAGAAGGCTGTCAAAGCTATAATTGGAAGAAAATCCTATTTTTCTGGTGCTCGATAAGCCTGTGTGTGTGCATGTGTGTGTGCATGTGTGTGTGCATGGTAGTAGGTGGGGGGTGGTAGCAAGTACCTTAATGTACAATGATGTGAGCACAAATTGAATTGGAGTCCATATTCTCCATTTCCCCTCCCACACAAGAGGGAGGGAAGAACAGTTGGTCATATTACAGGAGCTCAATATAGTTTAGACCTCCTCCACCACTGAAGCACACGGACACATGGACACACACACGCACGCACACACACACACACAGTGTCAATATCTCTCCAGGTGGAATTAAGTGGGTAGCCCATTTCCACACTGCCCAACAACAGCCCTATTTGTAAGCAGCTTCAAAATAGTCCCAGGGCTGAGCTTAAAGTATTTGTAACAGGTCCCCGAGTGAGGCTCAAGTAAACAGACGCCAGCAGTTTTCTGTAGGCACAAACAAAAACACAAGACTGGAGCAGAGTGTTTGCATCTTTCTGACAAGTTGTGACTTCAGCAGCAGAAAACACGCAAATGAAACCCACATTTAAATCCACTGTAGATCCAGGTATTTACTTGGATCCAAATAAACCAATCCCCTCAATTTGTGTGCATTTTTTTTACAAAAATGTCAAAATCTCAGGATGTAAAATCAAATGAAAAGCCTCCTGGATATGCACCGTTATTTAACAGCTTGTTCCCTGGTTCATACAACATCCGTCCACCAAGTTTCATGCTAATCCATCCACTGGTTTTTCTCTAATACCTTCATCATGGAGGTAATAAATGTTTACAAATGTAATCTTTCACATTTTCATTGCCTCCTTTAGTCAATTTTTTCTTTAGGGGATTAATTCAATTGTAGAATTAGTCCTGTTTTTTTTCCTCCTGTGTTGTTGCTTGCAGAGATTTGTCCCAAAAACCTCCAAAACACATTTAGAACTAAGTGTGAAAATACTGACATTAAGGTAAATTAATCCATTTGACAAACAGGAGCAAGCTGCTATAAAAAGAGAACAACTCCTCTGTTGTCAACAGCTGAATTTTATGTGTAAAAACTTGAACATTACAGCTGCAATTTATTACAAAAGCTGTAGAAGACTTAATGAAGTCATAAAAAATTTCAATATTGTGTTGAAATCTCCCTCAAATTGCTACTTAATCTTTTTGCCAGAAAAGTGACAGGACAGTGTAATTTATTAAGACAGAAGTTACAGTGGATGGACATCGTGTTTAAAACTACAGTTATACAATATATATCCATAAACATGTCGAATGACGTATTCTCCCCACTCGACTTCATCCAGTGCCTCATCTTCATCACTGTCACAGACACATGAAAGTGAATCCAGAGTCAAAACTGTCACAGGTGCCGCAGCAAAGACAAAATCTCCAGAGGAGGATTTTACACTCATAGAGCAACTGTCTGCACTGATCAAAATCAAAATCACTGC